ACATTTAAACATTTTATATGCAGGCATGCACGTGTGTTCTTACAACATATTATATATTACAGTACGTATCAGTTTTATCTTTATTTATTCTACTTACAGACTAAGGGGATCGATCACTCCATATGCTACATCTCTGTTTCCTTGCCTCGCTAGTGCCAGTAGTGTTTCTATTTCGGCCAATCTCTGATCCGAAATGCCACTGCGTTTTTCTCTGAAAAGATACAAAATATTTCTTTTAACTCAAACTAAACTGCGCTTCAATATAACAAGATAAATCATGTAATGAACATGTAAATGGTTTGAAATGTTCATACATTATGAATGATTCATGAATTATTTTATTAATTTAAGGGTTTTTATTTTCCCGTGACGATATATTATGGTTTATGCGCCTTGCTATAAAAATAAGTAAATGAAGATTTGGTTTTTGTTGAAAGGAGCCTGTATGATTTTTATGGAAATTAATTCTCTGTTAGATTGGCTGAAAAATTAATATGTTGTAGTTCAAAGCATTTTGATCAAAAATTCTAATTGACACTACGTCCAAATATTGATAGTTTCCGTGATACGATGCCTAAAACCATAAATATTAATTCTCAATTTTCTAATTCCGTCATGACATTAGTATTAATCATGGAACTTGTAAAAAAAGTAGTTCTAAATGAACTTTTACATAAGCACTGAAGTTAGATTAAGTAATGAGCAAGTTAATTACAAGTCCATCTCTAAATGAGCTACATCTTCCTATTTACCTAAGCCAATGCTGCATGCTCCAAACGCGTTTTATCACAGTGACCGGTGTCTGTATCCTTGATGTTTGAGGCTCCGTATCTCGGAAACTATTCGTTTTTGGCATGGTATCAATGACAATTTTTATTCAGAATGTATTGAGTATTAAATGTTACAACATATTAAATTTTCAGCCGGTGTGACTGAGAAATAATTTCCATAAGATTTGTACGAGGGCTTTTAGAGGTTCTATGGCGAATAAATTGACTAAATTTTAAAAAAAATGATCCACGAAAGAATATATATTTATGGTTTTTACATTGATGATAATTTTTTGAAATTGAAGTTGTTAGAAGAAAACTTAGTTCATTTCTCTAGATAAATCCGTACACTTGTAAAATAAATTTATCATTCCGAGGATTAAGTTAGGGAATTATAGCCGAGATTATCCATTACCTTCTAGACAGCCTCCACACGGTTTCTTATTAGTCTGCGCAGACTATTTAAAGAGTGAACCAATTAATTGTGCGCAAGAATTCTTACTCTATTTCAAAAGAAAGCTTAGGCTGAGAAGGTTTAGAGAAAATTATTATATATATTTGAGAATTGAATCTGTAGTGGTAGATAAGTAAATAAGACAAACCAATTATATTAAAAAATTAAACGAAATTTTAAACATTTATTTGCTACCAGTATCGTAATTTTACTAGATTTTGTATTAAATGCTTCGTTCGTAAACTTGTTTACCTTCAAAGTGGTATGATCGGACTACCAACAAACAACCGTGTGGAGGCTTATCTCAGGGAATAATATCCTTTTTCATATTTGCTTTGAATAACTTAAATTAAAATTATTGTATGTTTTATTTAATGTTACACTTGTAGGCATGTTTACGAGTTTATCACGAAGTACGGCTTTTAAACTTTTGTCAAGTTGAAGAGCAGTTGTATAAGTTAGATAAAAACATCATAGAGATATATAGGGTAACAGTCAGATTTGACATCATCTGTAGGAGAAGTCTTTTGATTGCAATTTCTTTAAAACTAAAGAAATAACAATTTATTTAACCAACACAGCACTCATTGTGGTTTCGACTGGATCAGAGTTCCATTTGTACTGCTATATCAATCGAACGTAGTACTATATCGATTATTTAAGCGTACATTTAAACATTTTAAAATTTTGAAAATTACTTTTTTCAGTGGTCAAAGAATTTTTATGACACTCTTCTTTACTGGGAAAAAAGATAACGGAAGGGATTAAAAGTTGGCAGGTATGCATTCATTAATCCAGTGTTTTCGAAATAAAAAGTGTATCAAGTAGTCGAAAAGTATATATTTTTTTTTACTCAATTTTCAACTCATATTCGAATTTTCTTATTTAATAGAAGCGGTGGACTTTCTAAGTACTCTGTTTACTCAAGTTTGTATTAGTCTTGGTATTTACGGCTATAATAATTCTTTGAACAGTAAAAATTTAAACCATTAATGAGCAGCTACAAAAAGTGTTCCACATACAGTGATGTGCCTCAGACGACTTAAAATATAAGGACTGGTAAAAACCTACTTCATTTATTTAATTACTCAATCGCAACTACCATCCTGACATATAATGTAAATTATTCATATTTAAAACGAAATTATTCATTGCTAACATCTTACATACCCTCCAACTGCTACGGAATTTCCGTAGTTTCAGAAATCTTCTTTTCAGACGGTAGCAAAATTAATGCCTTAATATTTAAAAAAAATTAATTTTAGCGTAACTTGTCCACTATTACTTATAAAAGTGCAGGCCATATGGCTAGATTCTTAAGTTCTGATAAAAGTTTTATGAGAGATCCATTTGCTTTAAAAATCTCTATTTTGGTTCGCTACCACTAGAAAGAATTATTTTCAAAATCCTCATAAGTTGGAGGGTATGCATCTACAATAATAGACTGATAAAAATATGCTGGAATAAGAAGGCATATATGCATACCTGCAAACTTTTAATCCTTCTGAGGATGATTTTCCCCAGTGGTGGTAAAATAGAATTTGTTCTACACTTTTAGGCAGAAACAAATGCTGTATTTTGAAAAGCTTGTGTGAACTACCACGATAATCTTACTTATTAATATATATGTGTATAATTTTTAAAAAAATAGTGGTGGTCAAAAAGATAATAAATTAAGTTTATAAATGCGAGGAATATATAAAAAGCATTCATTTTACTACCACTTTAAATATAGAAATAAAATTTTACGCCAAATGCGTAAAAGTTGGCAGGTTTGTATATGACTTCGATCTTACATAAATATTTTTTAACTAAAGGTTTGTCGTGGTAGGTTTAAAAGTTGGTTCTGAAATTTATAAATGCAAAAGAAATTACATGCTACTACTAAGAAAATTAGGTTTTAACGGCTTTTCCTTTTGGCAAATTAGCATTAACTGAAAGTGAGGTAACATACTTAAGCTTTTAGATGTCCATAGAATAGTGGTCGCTTAACATTTAAGAGCAATTAAGTTTACATATTTAATGGTTTATAGTCATACCTGCCAACTCTTCCGGATTTTCCGGAAGATTTTATTTTCATATTTAAAGTGGTAGTAAATATATACCATTTTTTCTTTTATAAACTTAATTTTTAAATGATTTTGATCACCACTATTCTTACAAAAATTAAGCACATATATTAATATGCGTTACTATCATGGTTGTCATTTTAAGTTTTCTCAAATACAACGTATTTGTTTGCTTAAAATTGAAGTTTTAATTCCATTTTAATACCACTGGGAAAAATGATAATGGAAGGGATTAAAAGTTGGCAGGTATGTATAGTTAGTATTACCGAACTAGTTACACTGCATCGGAGAGGATTAAATTAAGTTGATAACCTCTAATGTGAGTAATGCTTTACTTTTGAAAAAATATTGCGAATGCATAATTTGAAATCAAAATATAAGGTCTAAGATATATCTGTAAATACAAATGCCTTTACATCATAAAGAAAAATATATAAAAATAAATAAATAATTAAGCTACAAGTTTTCCTCCCTTCCGGATAAAGGTGACTAACGCCCTGAGAAAAAAAAAGTAGTAAATTTCTATACAGATATAATATTTCAAAACATGTGCTCTATCTTTCCGTTTCCACTTTATTGTTCAGAGAACAGAAATATTTTTTAAAAAATAATTGGAAAAGTAAAGAGGTAAGTTTTCGAAAGGTCTATCAGATACTTTGCCTCAGTTATGAGTGCTGATCAGCTTATTCAAGATTAAAAGTTTTTATTGAGACATCAGGGGTTTAAATATTTTTTTTAATGGTAAAAAATTAGCCTGACAGCTAACAACTTATTAGTAAGAATATTTCCTTTCATTCATCACATTCACCAGCATAATTTTCAGCTAGTAAATACTTACAAAATATGGATTTGAATGATCGATTTCAATTTTACAATTAAGAAAATTTGAATTATTTTAAAAGAAACATTTTAATTAATATATTGGTAGTGTATAAAAATTAAACTCTGATATTTCTTATATTAACACTTGTCATTTTTCTAATTTAGGATATACTTGATGAATTCTTTTAAAAGTTTAGATTAATAAAGATCATATATGTATATATATATATAATCGAGGAAATTTAATAAAATTAAAATAAAGAAAATAAAATAGTACGAGTTTCTTAAAAATTCATTCTGTAAAGCAAAAAGCATTGAAACGTAACTATTCCATTTTTAACTTTTCGATAATGGTTTCGGCGTCGTTTTAAGATTACCTAAGTATATTTTGTAGAATTGGATCTTCCCTATCGCGCTTCTTGGTCACAAACGTAAGCAAAATGATAATTCTTACGTAAATGTTTTTTTAAACCAAAATTTAAAAAAAAAGTTTAGATAAAAGAAGTTTAGTATCTCACAAAAGCATTACTCACATTCATTTTTCCTGCTTTGTTGTCGAAAATGGACATATTTTTGAAAATTTCCTAGATTTCATAAAATTCAAATGTATTTTCATTGCTTTTTAAGTTTTTAGTTTTCAGTTCAAGTTTGTAGACACTTACTGTTTAGCAATTCTTCCCTGTTAACATCGTAATATTTATTAACAGCATCCTATATTTGAAAAGCTATGATAAGAGTTAATGAGTTCATTAAGTCAATTAGTAATTAATGAAATTGTAATTTGTTGGGTTAATGAGTTTGTTTTATGGACATTCATCGCACTTAATTTTCTTTAAAATGGGCTTGAAATATGCAGGTTGTCCTATAATGACCTAGCTTAATATATTATTTAATAATATATATTAATAGCATATATTTATATATATTAATTAAATATATACACTGAGCAAAACAATTAAAGGATTCTGTAAGTCTTAACAGTATAAACTAACAGTATAAGCAATTTTTTTTGCATAAAATAGAAGAAGAGAGACACAAATGCCTTTTTTCTCATTTTTAAACTTCGCAATATGAACCTTTTTGGGACGGACGAGTC